GCACGCTCCCACACCCCCACTCCCCCACACCCCATGAAGTGGCCTCTCTGTGTCCTGAAGCTTCGGTGTCCAGGTCTCCTAGAGCCTGCTCTCTCGTGCGGGGAACCCATGGTCCCCTTGCATGCGCGCATAGGTCTGTGCCTGGGCTCCAGGCGAGCCGCCCTGGCCTGCTGGTCTGCCGGGGGCCCACGGTGGCAGCCCTGGAGGGCCGGTGTAACCGTCCAGTCAGTGTGGGAGAATGTGGGTTCCCATGTGGGAGGCTGTGAGTTTCCGTGTGGGAGGCCGTGAGTTCCCGTGTGGTAGGAGGCCATGGGTTCCCGTGTCAGAGAATGTGGGTTCCCGTGTGGGAGGAGGCCGTGGGTTCTCGTGTCAGAGAATGTGGGTTCCCGTGTGGGAGGCCGTGGGTTCCCGTGTGGGAGGAGGCCGTGGGTTCTCGTGTCAGAGAACGTGGGTTCCCGTGTGGGAGGCCGTGGGTTCCCGTGTGGGAGGAGGCCGTGGGTTCTCGTGTCAGAGAATGTGGGTTCCCGTGTGGGAGGCCGTGGGTTCCCGTGTGGAAGGAGGCCGTGGGTTCTCGTGTCAGAGAACGTGGGTTCCCATGTGGGAGGCCGTGGGTTCCCGTGTCAGAGAAAGTGGGTTCCCGTGTGGGAGGCCGTGGGTTCCCGTGTCAGAGAACGTGGGTTCCCGTGTGGGAGGCCATGGGTTCCCGTGTGGGAGGCTGTGAGTTCCCATGTGGGAGGCAGCCGTGGGTTCCCGTGTGGGAGGCCGACGCCCTTGTGTGGTTTCCTCGTGACTGTCTCGCGTGGTATCTTTTTGTCAAAACTGCACGGAATCTGCAGGCTGCATCTGGCTTGCAGAAGCAGCTTCTGTCCACCAATCTGAAGATGCGTTTGGGTTTTTCACAAACGCAGTGTGTCACCTGATGGAATTTCTCTGTCTGCGAACACGGAACCTCCCTCTCGTTTCTTATTTCACTGCAACACCCGCGGCCGGCATCGATTCATTCACAGGCACGCTCAGCCTCTGGACGCAGGTGTGCACGCTCCGGTGAGCACTCCTGGTTCACATACGCTCCCCTTGCTTGTCCCTCTGTGGTGGTTTTCATGAGACCCTGCAAACCAGGACCCCACA